ATCGTATGCCTGTTCCCAGTCCACTCTAATTTCTTCTGATAATTTCTTGACAATATGTAAAAAAGAAATACGTTCTGTAAGCCTGTTATTATTTTACTATTGAAAATTATTGAAATAAAATGTAAGTAATATTATATTTGTAATTAATATTGATAATAAGATGGGAAATGATTACAGATTGTGCTCCAATTTTAAAACCATTCGAATATATGACAATCGAATTGTCCAGAGAAAAATACCCAACTTTATCTTTAGTAATACCACTTATAAGAGGACATCAACATACGGTTAGAAATGTAAGACCAGAAACTGATGTCAGTATTTTACTAAAAAATAGTTTAGTAGCTATTGTCGCGAGGCGGTTAGGATCTCTAGAAAAAGATAAAATTGTCTCAAAATCAACTTTATTAGATCCTAAATTTAAAAAAAACTGCATTTGGATTGACAGACAATGCCGATAATGCTGAGAAATGGTTAGTCGAAGAGCTTACATCAATTATTTCTTTTAATAATGACGCTGGTGATCATAATATTAAAAATATAAGCGAAATACCAGCTTCCTCAACTTCAACAGGGTCCTCTTATTCTTTATGGGATCATTTTGATCAAAAAGTGACAGAAGTCAGAAGCGTCATATGTTCAAATGTTTTTGCAACATTAATGATGCGTCAGTACTTAGAGTTACCTCATTTGCATCGAGGAAAAAATAGTTTGGATTTTTGGAAACAACACAAGATGACATTGCCCGAATTATACTTCAATTATAACTTCAATTAAAATATCTCTGTATACCAGCGACTTCAGTTCCTTTTGAATGGATATTTTCGAAAGCTGGATTGCTAACAAATAATCGTCGAAATAGGCTGTCACCAAAAAATTCAAACTATATCATACTTTTAAACAATAATTTAAATCTTATATCGATCACAATACCTACTCACATTTAATTTTGATTTATCGTAATTTTAATTTTATATGCTTAATGGTTAGTTAAGACAAAGAATTGTCAGTTTTTTATTCACTTTATTTTCATGTAAATAGTATTTATATTTTGTATTGTTTTATCTTGAAGCATTTTTCATAATTTATTAATAATTCTTATTCATCAATTATCATATAAATAAAGTTTTTTTAGGATAGTATTGTAATTAATAAATATGTTACAGATATTAAGTATATTATAAGTATATTTGATTATACGTTAAATCTTTTAAAATTATTTATTATTATTATTTTGTATTTTAACATACGTACAAAAAAATAAATTGTCAGTTGTTTTTCTTACATTATATTTTATTTTGTTTTGTTATGAAGATTTTATTATATTTAAACATTGAAAAATACTAAAATAGAATGAATTTTAGTTCATAATGTTTATATGCATACCTACATTGATTAATGGTTATTTAGTATCTATTTATATCTCGATTACTATTTGTTCGATTATTTTAATCGAGTGAATTACTCGATTACTATAATATCTCGATTATCGAAATCACACGATTATTCCCATCACTAATGGAAAGTGTCGGCTCTACGGGGTGGCAAGTGGTGTGATCGCACCGGGTCCCCGTGCTTTTATGCTTGTATGTACTAATTATGTATTACGAACATCACTTTATATATAAATAAAAATTCTTGGTAGTACACAAATTGCAACCCATGTAATCGTTTGGTTTTCTCAAGAAACGGGCTGTTATCAAAAAAAATTAAAGGTCTATTTATACATATCCGACACGAGTCTGGGCTGTGACGGATTTTTATTTTAATGATCAAATTATAATTTCAAATATTGATTAAGTATTAATAGTTACGAGCAGGTATTTGAAGTATATGCACGTTGAGTATAGTGGATTACACACTAGGCGATTCGAACGCACGTCTCTGTGCGTTTTGAACGTCCCGATTAATCGCTCAAAATTAAACATGTACTTTTATATGGGTTTATCACACACGTAAATGAGACGCACGTTCGGTTGCGTTCGAACGCACCGAAACGCTCATGTTTAATTTTGTGCGGTCGGTCGCGATTTGCCGTTATAATTAAACATTATTTTCCCAATGTATTTTCAATACATTTCCGGCATTTCAATACACACGGACGATTTAAATGCTGCGATTGCCCTGCGTTTATTTACGTTCATTCATAATTTGTCTACGACAGTTGTCGTATTCATATACTTATAGTTTTTTTGAGGAATGAAATTTTTTACTGAATGCATATATTATAGTTTGCTATAGTTGGAATAATTTTTAAAAAATATTGTTTTTCTACCTATTTATAGAAAATTAAAAATTATATGTTTTCTTTGCTTTTCTTCAAAAATATTGATAAAATAATTTTGATAAGACAAAATCTTCAACGTTTAATAAAAACTAAAATATTAATTTATAAATATATATTTATTTTCCTAATCTTTTTATCACGATGCACCGACAATTAATTTTGAACAACAATAATATAATTTGTGAGATACTTAGAGAAAAAGATTTTGAAGATAAATTACTTGCGATTAACGGAAAACACGTAAAAATCCGGTGTCCTAATAATTCAGGCTTTTTGTATTTTAATTACAAAGATTATTTTTCCATTATATTATTGGCAATGGTCGATGCGAACTATAAATTTATCGCGATCGACGTCGGCTCGTTTGGAAGAGAAGGGGATGCGGAATTTTTTTAAAATCAAATATGGGATAGCAAATTTTGAATTGTACTTTCAAATTTACAAATTCAATAAAATTTCATCCTCAGTTGAGGATAATACAAATTTTTTGGACATTTTGTGTGTTGACGCAAGACCATTGGCGTGTCTACGGGGGAGGCAGGGTGGGCACCGGCCTCCCCAGCGACGTTTTTGGCCTCTTGGCTTATAATGGTGAAATCACGAGTATATAGTATCTATATCCGTGGCTGAAACAGTAACAGTAGGTAATTTTAAATTTTAAATTTATTGAATTTTATTATTTGTAATATTTTAATAAATTAATTGTTTAACCAAACTGATAAATAACAGTTTATTTTTTAATAACTTTAATAAGATGTGTATAGAAGTTGTATAGTTGATAAAATATTTATAAAAAATAAATAATTAGCACATTAGTTAATAGGTCTTATTAGTTCATAGTTGTAATAGCATAGGAAACCAATTTTAAGATCGAGAAAATCTTTAATTTGACGGGGTGAAAAAATTTCAGGAGCAATATAATTTTTATACAACAAAAATAAGTCACAAATATAGATAGAGATTATAGACTGCTGTAGTAAGTAAAAAATTTAAATTTTATAACTGGCCTCCTCAGCCAAGGAGGTCTAGACATGCCTATGCGCAAGACGTTTCAACGAAGTACTTGTTCAGATTAGTAGTGCGTTCGGACACACTGTGACATTTACCGACGCGCTGCGTTAAACGCAAGTAGGAAAACAGTCACATATAAAATGCATGTATCTAGTAACAATGCGTCTGACGCTGCGTTTGGACGCTGCAGAGAAAACGTCCTTTACAATTTTAAACTTAAATGATAATACACATTAACAGAATAAATGATAAAGATTGTATTATATAGCACAAATTAATTTTAATAAACCCTTTTATTCTAAATCTAAATTTATATTAGCATAATAGCAATATATCATGCATTATAATATGCATTACATGGGTACCAAAATATTTTTCAAATTTAAAGCTTATCATTAATTTAATAATAAACATAAAATATTATTTAAATGGATCAATTGTTTGATTAAGATTCATGTAGCAACAGTTTAAAATATTCAATTATAATAAATTATATACATTATAAAACAAATTTAATAAAACACCTATACAATTATATCTTTACAACATCTAAAATTGAAAATCATATAAATAAATAAGTATTTCATAATAATAGTTATGTATAGCAAATAATCAATAAAAAAAAATTATTATTATGACATGATATTGTTAGAATAGAATATAAAATTTTAATAAAATATTAACTTATTTAAAATTATTTATTTTAATTGGATCATTAATTTTCATACTACTTTAATGAATTTAATAGAACTCTCAAATGTGTTAGCAGTACATGCAAAATTGGAGTCAAAAATAAACAAACAAACAAGAACTAAATCAATCAAATAATAGAAAAAATTAAGCTTACATTTCACAACATTCTGACTGTATACACAGTTCTAATAGAAACATTTTAACAACTTATTCAAAATATAAGAAAATATTAAGTATAAGTAAATATTTCCATGATTTTTTATTTATAAATAATACCTCATTAATGTTGTAGAAGATTAGTTGACCAATCAGCATTAGGAATAACACGTAGAAAATAAGTATTAATTTCAGCTTACCTGGAGACCAGGAACAGCATGAAATCAAAATAGTTATAAAACATTTAATAAAGAAATGAAAATTGCCCAGAAATATAATATCTGTTCTAATACAACATTTGATTATTTAATTTTAGTTAATTATTTTGTAACAGTACCTAATTTTTTATACAAAGTAATTTTAGATTTATATCTCAATAAAAATCAGGTATGTGTGTTAAAAGAATAAAACTTATGACATTGTAATCAATTCTTAATAAAATGTAGCTAGACAAAAAAAAAAATCATAAACCAATTCAAACACTTTATTAATATTAATCATAATAGTATCAATTTTTGATTAATTTTTTTAAACAGATAATAATTTTTTAATCAATAGTATAAATTTAATTTATTTTACTAAGACAAATTTATTTGTCTTTATTAACTTCTGTGTATTTCAAATTTTATTTTAAAATTTGAGTAAAATATATTTTGCATCACCTAAAATTGTAACTATCTAGTGTTTGTAAATCATACATTTAGTGGACTTATTTAATTAAAATTAAAAAGCGATAATATAATTTTCATATTACCTCAATTTTGGATCATATACAGAATGATATGATCTAAAATATGACTAACATGAAAATTATTATTATTAATATACTGTATTCATTTATATAGTTACTCACATATTAGTATCAGTTATGTATTTATTTCCATCCAATTTATCATTTTCATGGTTAATCTCTGTTCTGCCTATGAGATCTTTGCAGGTTTGCTGTAATTCTTTCAGCTGTTTTTCATTATTCTCTATTCTCTACAAAATTATAAAAATTAATAATGATGGAAAACAATACAAATTAATATTATTATGATTTATTTTTATTATATTTTTAGTAAAATAATAATTTTAATAAGATTTTAAAGGTAAATTAACTTCTTCTTACAACTAGTATTGATGACAGAGCTTCATTTCCAGGAGTCATAATAGTCATTAAATTGTTGGCTAATTGTTTAAGATTAATTAATCGTTTTTCATGTTCATTAAGTTCATGTTCTGACCCTGAATCTGACATGCCACTGTCAGACGCTGATCCAAAACCTCCAGATTTTGGGTTTCCTCTAACCCCGCCATCATCACCAAATCCTTTAAATTTCATTTCCAGTTCCATTAATTGTTTGTCACATTCAACCCATGTGATTAATGCATTCTGGTACCTTGATATATCACTATCTAACCTGTAACCATGTATTCAAGTTTAAATAAATTTGTTTATAAAATGTTTATATATAGTAATAGTTTTATAATTCAATAAAATGATTTTTGTTATATTTTACTATATTTTATTATTTTTTGGATACATGCTCAAAACTATAAATATGACAAATTTATTCTATAAAAAATTATTATCTAATACACCAATAACAACGTTTTGTCCACAGGATTTAAAGAATATATACAAAATCTATGAAAAACATCCTGATTTACCAGAAATAATAATGTGTTGTGCAACTAGAATAAGCAATAATTTTATGCTGACAGAAAAAGTTTGTTTACGAAAATTTAATGCAAAATATGTTACAGTAAATACATAAAAAAATACTTATCATTCAATATATAATTAATTCTATAATTTTAAGGCTCAAAGTTGCAACAAAGAAATTGTGTATCAAGCAAGAGCTTTATTCACACCGCAGTTTAAAGATGAAATTAATGGAGTGTTATTAATTCAAGTAATAAATATAGGTTACAAATATTATAATACATATTTCTGTATTTATTATACAAGAAAATGTTGAATAGATTGATGGATTTGGTGAATCAAGTAGAACAAATTTTAACAACACAATTTATTACAATTTTTTTACTGAACATAATAGTGAAGTTAATTGGAAAGAAAAACAGTGTACCATATATGGTACAAGTATTCAATCAAATATGAAAGAAATAAAATACTATAAAAAATGGACAACAGTATCTAACAATACTATTTCAGTATCTAGATATTGTCGACAAAGTTACAAGTATATATGTGTATACAATATTCTTTTTTGGTAATGAATAATTAATTTTTAATAAAACAATGATAACAGTGATATAAATAAATGGTTATGCCCCGAAAGAAGTCATGTACAATTTTGCGAAGAAGACATTGGTTGTCCTATGATATGTGATAGTAAATTAATAGGAATTGCAAGTCAAAGATACAATTGGAAGATTTGGGCGTTTAATATGGATTGCGGAAATTTAGATGTAGAGACAAGATATTTATTTTTAAATCAGGAATATGTTAATTGGATAAAAACCATCATAGATAGTGAGTAACTCAAAAATATTTGAAACAAATTTTAATTTTGTTAGGTTGATGAATTGCCACTACTTATTTTATACCAATGGTGGGATAAAACACAAAATCTAGTATTTATTATTCATTGTTACACTTTTCATGCAGGGCAAGAGTGATGGCTATACAGAATATTTTTTTTTATAATTTTAAATTTATAGATAACATTAGTAATAACACTTTAGTATTAATAATCTTATTTAAAATATAGAAAATCAATAATGACCATCATTCATCTCATTTAAATAAATGATTAAATTAAGTTTAATATAATAAATGTAAATTTAATATCCTATTTTTAATAAATATAATTACAATATTAATTTAATTTAATCATAATTTTATGTTTGTATAAAAACTGTAATCATAAGCTTAAACAAAAGTAAGATACTTTATTGAAGCAAGTTTTAAGAAATATTTTTTTATTTATAATCAAGTATAAATGAGCTTGTATTAAATTGCCTGGTTTCTAAAGTCGAGAAAAAAAAATTGTGTAAAAAGAAATGTGATAATCACTATTTTTGAAAATAATCAATATTATACATTTAACAATTTGAATGTAAGCTATCAATTTTTAATATATCTATAAATAATTTCAATACCGTTAAACAGTCAATATTTAGATAATAATAATAAAAAAAAAAAAAAACATACAATTATTAATTTTTTCAATTAAAATAAGAATGACAAAAATCTTAAAATAATATAATACAAATGAAAATCCTTTAATAACTACTTGCCTTTGCTTAGCATTAGTATAAATAGAATAAAGATCTGCGACTTCTTTGTTCAAATGTCTTAGAACAGCATTAGCATCATTTGATTCATTAAATTGTCTGTTTAACTCTTCAGTAATGCTTACTTTATTGCAATTATTCCAATATAATTCTAAATTTGATAGTTCAGTCTGAAATTCAAAGGAAAATTAAAAATATCACTAAAATCATATTATTTCATTAAATACTACTGTACCTTAGCAGTGTGAATTAGTACTTGTAGTTCATTTTTGTTTTGCACATTACTATCGGGCTGATCATTAGGCGTGAATGACAATAAATGACTTTTGATTGCTGCTATATCAGTTTTCAGCAATTGTATTTTTTCTTGTTTAGAGATATCTAGTTCTAAACGTTCACATTTTTTCACCATGCCTGAAAATATAAGTTATATAAGTAAATAAGTGTAAGTTAAGCTTAAGCATACTGACATATATATGTATACATTTGTATTACACCTTTATATTTATTTATAAGTACAGGATATCAAAACTAGATATTTATTTGTCGAAAAATTGTATTCACATTGCATATTTTACCTTCACTATTAGTTACATGAGCTATAGTATTATTTAGTTCGATGATGTATTGTCTTAAAGTTTCCGTTTCTTTTGCTCGATAATTTTGAACTAGGTCCTTCATGATATCAAATCTTTCGTTTATATCGATTTCAGGAGACTCGTCAACAATTACAACAGATGGTTTATCACAAGCTGTTTGGTGATTTTTCTTTTTTGAGGTCGAATTATGTAGCAATTCTAAATCAATTTTTATTTGTTGGAAACTTTCGTCAAGACTACAGTCGAGAATACTGGTATCAGTGTCTGAACTCGTATTGAAGACGTAGTTATCGAAATCTAGCCGCTGCGACTCCAAGTCAAAAAACGGCATTTCAGAATCAGACATAGAATTAGTAACAATAGATTTGCTGTTTAGTTTATGATCCATGTGGAATTATTATATTCCTCACGCTATTTAATAAAACACGGTACGCCGGCACAACGGATAGAAGTTATAAATAGAATATATGCAAATATATTTTAGTCGTTCTGGGCCAACATGTTTTAGGTTATTGTCATTCGCGATGTTAACCAGTAAATTGACATTTCTGTAAGAGATATATAGTATTCGTTAAAAACCAATCCCAAAAATAAAAGTTAATATTTAAAGTTTAAATTATTATAGTTGTTTTTTCAATAGTCTAATAACTGTTCTTATTTAGAGGTGCCAATTAAAAAAGATAAACAAAAGTATTTTAAATAATAATAACAAGGAAACATCCAGAATACGCTTAATTATGTATAAGATATAAAATACAGAAAATGTAATGATATAAAATGTGTTCTAGAAATTTTTATGATGTTTCGTATCAATTACCTAGTTTTTAAAATAAACATCTCATTATTCTAAAATAGAAATCTCAATAATTGCGATTATGTAACGATTTGAGAAAAATACAGCAAATATCCATGCAAAATCTTTTTATTCAGCGAAAGAAAAAGAGAAATCGTATGACAGGAATACAATTAAGCATCGAAAATAAACCAAAAATGAATTAAATTGATAATGAAGCATGTAAATAGAACGGGTTGTTTTTATTTGATTCGGCGTGTAAGACATATTTATACTTATTATTGATTTATTTCCATTATTTTCGTATTAAACAGGGAAGAGTAAAATAATACCATTATCTCAACAAAAAGAATTCAGAACTCATTTTCTAGATTTAATAAAATAATTAATGTTGTTTTTATCGTTTTAGTACAGCCGAATCTTGAAAAATGTTGTTGTATGTACAAGCATTTTTAAATGACAGTTAGATAATAAAATAGACAGTGGGTCCACTTTTAGATTATTCTGTAATATGTGTATAAAAAAATAGGACAAATAAGTTAATATGGAATTATCTGGAATGTTTAAACAATTTTAAAATATTATCAATTAATTATTGTGTATGTATAAGAAAAAAAATAAAATAGTTTACTATTGAATATTGATAAATAGTCATTGTTATAATAAGATTCTTTGTAAAATTACTACAATCGTTTAATTATGTAATTTTATTTATTTACGATTATAACTGACTTATTTTTAACAGGCTGTTGCTAACATTTTGGAATTTTTCATACATATTTATTAAATGGGTCTATATATATGCAATATGGAAAATATAAGTATTATCTTTAAATAGGATTTATATACTTTATTATCCAAAGAACTAAGAGGTTTAGGAAGGGTTTTAAAGAACATGTTTTCTGGTAACGATTATAGAATGTTCGATGATGATGATATACAAAGGGCGCCTATAATTTTATACATGAACAGGATGTTTAATAGACTATTTATTATAATGCTCACTAATGTTACTACTGAAAAATGAGAGTAAAATATGCACTTATACCAAATAATTATTTTGGTTGAAAATAATTCTTCAATAACTAATAAATAAATAAGCTTAAGCTGTTTGATTTCAACAAATTGAATTAACATATATATGAAATATTTGATAAATATTCAACAAGCACTAAGTAAGGAACCAAATTTAGATTATAACAAATATTAATTAAATTAATTAATAATTACTTAATCAACACAATTTTTTTAAATTAAAATTAAAATAATATATTAATGAAAATTGAGCAAAGAACGACCTTTATTTGTAATTGATCTAAACTAAAATTAATTGTAAATTAATTACTTATTTCGTTCTATCTAGGAAATTAGAAAACAATTTACAGACGTAGTGTAAGTTAAGAAGAGATTATATTAATCACAGAAAATATAAGGAAATAAATAGAAAATATGAGCTATTAGTTTTATTGTATGTAGTAGGACTAAAACTTGGACTAAAATGATAAAATACATTTAGAAACTTCATATGACGAGAGGCATACAAAAAATTATATCTTGGTTATAGTAATAAATTAGATTATTAGGTATTGAATAAATATTAGAAATATTATTGTGAAATTAAATTTAAAAAAATAAGTATAGTTAGCACTCATGTGCACAAGTAATGAAGTTGATACCCAATACCTTAATCTATTTTCCAATGAAGTAGGATTAGCATCGGGAAAACCAAAAAACTATCTTCACGAATAATAATAATGATTAAATAAATTATATAATAATAATAATAATATATTCTATTCAAAATAATAATTTATAAAATATCATTACTTAAATTAATTAATGAAAACTACAATATTTGAAAATTTTAAAATAAAGGGGCTACATCGATAAATACGTATTGCACAGTATTACACTTTTAATAGTGCAGCATAATACGAGTGCAAGTTTTAACTGTTTAGTGCATATATATGAATCTACCATGGTCTAGTTAAATTACGATGGAGCCTGTTGATTCCAGCTTCCAGGTGTTACAATATATTTTCAACTAAATAGGACGCATACTAGTTGCGGACGAAATTATTCAGGTCAATATTGTAACATAACAATTGCGGACACGTTTTTCTTTATCATAATACTAGTTGCATACAGAGTTTTTTTTTAATAAAAATATTTATAGATTACTGTTATTATTTATTTATTTTTTGACAGGTTTTATAGTTTTTGTGGCAAACTTTTTTTGAAACAGTTTGTATAAATGATAATCTACTGATTTCACCATTTGAATATTGCAATATTTGTTTGCTAATAATATCCTCCTTTTCGACAGTTCTTTTGGCTCGTTTTAAATTTCTTACAGCAGTACAGTTCATTTTAATATACCTACCAGTCTGTACTTCATTTAAGGCCTCGATCAACTGATATATATAGGGTGACTCCGATAAAACATACCATTAAATTTAGCATGGAAACTTTTACAAGCATTTGTGGTTTGTGAAATAGATGAAGAAAATTCTGCCCATATTTCTGGAGGAAACTGTACATTTTTCAAAGACGACAGATATTAAGCAAGCACGAGTAAGGTTGTCGTTAAACTGATTAAACATATTTTTTGACAGCCGTCTCAAAAGCACCGGTACAATCTTAATGTTGATAAATAATCAGTCCAATAATGTCATAGGTTTATATATATCGTCAATATTAAGTAGTTTATCAGTAATTTCCCAACGTTTGGAAATTTGTACGCAATTAGTATGGAAATTTGTGTCCGCAATTCATATGTTACCTTTTTAGATTTCGTCCGCAACTCGCATGGTTTTTGTAACTTTGTCCGCAACTAGGAAACACCGATTAAATGCCACGATGATACACGTGATAATATAAACATTAGCTTGGACCAAATTATAAATTATCAACAAGGTATTTATGAATGACAAGATTGTAGATATTTTTCAACTTTAAACCAGTCAATAACATGGACGACTGATTAAAAATTGTATAACGATAAAATTAATCGAACGACGAACTACCATACCAGAGTGTGGTTTAAATTTCTAAAAAGCATTTAAAATATTTAAATAAACTATTCCACACAGACGTACACTAACTCTATTACACGGAAAGAATTGTCGAGCACAATGTATGCATACATTAACAATTATAAATGTAATGAAAAAATGCGGCAGGACTTTGGAAAGAGAAATGGTGTTATTTGAGATATGTATGTCATCCATAATATTATACTCGCTTTCTGCAAGTAAAGACCAAAGTGAAAACAAGAATGGTAGTCATGAGAAAAAATTACAATTTAAACTTAATTTTTAAATAATGAAATTGAATATATTTATCAATGATTACTGCACGTGATAACATTAATAACAAGAGATAACGAATCAACAGTAAACACACTAACGACAAATATTTCCAACAGGAAGGTCACAAGTCCAGAGCAGTTTAAAATATTAAGTAATATATTAAATTGGAATGGCCAATATAAATAGTACAAGTCCTTGGTAACAGATGTAAATCGAAACGGTAAAAGAAGGGGAAAAATGAACGAAACATTCAGTGATATCAATTTCACCGACAACGTGAGTCGATTAAGTACAATGAATAAAAAGAGAAACGCAGTATTGATTCAATAGGTTTTTGAAATTATCATAGTGAAAATAAAATTTAAATAATTTTTGACGATACCCACAAATAGCTTAAATCAAATTTCAATCGATACCTACTACCTATTGGTTATTACCACGTTGTTTCATATTTGTTCTTATCTCTACCCTGACCCCGGTGATCGTTTCATCGTCAACAACGCAATAACTAAATTTTATGTTTTGCCGGTTGGTAAGCATTTCAATTGGAATCGATAGAACATAGAACAAATCGTAAAATTAATAATAGTCCGTGTACATCACAAAGATCATTGCGAAGAAAAAAACAAACGAACAGAGTGGACAAAACCAATAGATGTTATACCTCTACAATAATAAACGTAACTGTTGTATTTGTATGAAAAACGAAAA